AAAGACAGATTGGAGTCTAGAATGACGCCTGGTACTCTGGCTTGCGGGGGTGGGGCTGATGGTGGAGTTGTTGGTTGTGATGGAGAGGTCGGGGGGGGCGCGGGGGGGGGGGAAACTAGGAGTTTAATTTGTGGAGTGACAACCAGTTCGGTTTTGACAAGGTTTAATTTGAGGAAGTGGAGTGACATCCAGTCTGATATGTCGTTCAGAAGGCTAGTGATTCGGGCGGAGACTGGAGGGGTGAGACGAGGGGTAGAGAGATAGATTTGAGCGTCATCGGCTTAGAGATGGTAGTTGAAGCCGTGGGAGTGTATCAGTTGACCAAGGGAGGAGGTGTAGATGGAGAAGAGAAGGAGCCCAAGGAAAAAACCTTGGGGGACCCCAACAGAGAGGGGGAGTGAGGGGGAGGTGGCAGCATTATAGGTAACACTGAAGAAAGCCACAGAGAGGTCGAGGAGTAGTAGCACTGAGTAGTGGCCATTGGCTTTGGCAGTTAGCAGGTAGTTGGTGAGTTTGAGTAGGGGGTTTCGGTGGAGTGTAGGGGACGGAAGCCAGATTGTAGGGGATCAAGGAGGTTGTTGTCGGTGAGGTGGGAGCTTAGGCGATTATAGGCTAGGTTGATGATGTCACATGGGGGCAGGGGGCATCTACTTCAGGGGACATTCTTTTCCTTCTTTTAATAAAGGACTTGTCAAAGACTGTCTCCTGTCTATTTTACACTACACTTTTTTTGTGAATGAATAGCGGTACCATGTACCCCATACTCATTCACATGGGGGGGTGGGATCTGGGGAACCCCACTGACAGCTGAAATATTAACGCATGGTTTTCACTACTAAAGTACCACATTACTTGATAAAATAACTCATGCAGTATTTTAGTAGTGTTTTTTGTGAATTCAAACATTTATTTTTAAAAATGCTATGCGGTATCCTACCGCATCCTCGGATGTGGTAAGATACCGCTTAGTGAATTGTGCCCAATATCTTTTTGCCCTACTATGACAGAACAAATGTACATACACTTTCACTGTGTGAACTATTTTTTTATAAATCCACCCAATTCAAAGCAGCCAAAAAAAAAAAGTTCAAGAGGATCGCCTCCTGAACACCTAAAAGCAGTGAAAGAGACCTTAAAGCCTTTTAACTCCTTATTCAAAATGTGTAAATACTTTAGTGTGCATAGTCTGAGCACAGTTTCCACCACCCAGGAAAGTCCAGGTGCTGCATACAGATGCCCATAGACATGAATAGCGTACTAGGGAATATAAAACAAATAAAAGAGCACTCCCAGTCCTGTGGGAGTCAGTAGAGCTACAAGCCCAGAAAAAGATAACATCAAAATTCACTTTAAAGTAAAGTTAAAAAGCATGACATGTAGGAGTGCCCAGACTGATACATCACCAAGCCAACGGAGGAGATGAAACACATAACCCCAGAAGCTGAAGGATGACACATAATCCCGGACCCAACAGTAGGTTACACTACCCAGGAGCCTCAGAACAGTGGGAGAAGTGCATGGCCACTGCGTTGGTGAATCCACCAGATGTCACATGTCTTGGAACCGGATGTGATGTCATACACCTGGCAGAAGAGCGCCTGAATGTCCGCTGGTGAGGGAAAACTGGAAGTCTTGCAGAGCACTCAAACCATGTCAAACCAAAGGAGAGCAGCTGGTCACCATGAAAACATGTTTCGGGGCTTGCCCCTTCCTCAGATCAACCCCATGAAACATGTTATCATGGTGATGGGCTTCTCTCCTTTGGTTTGACAAGGTCTGGGTGCTCTCCAAAAACTTCCAGTTTGCACTCACCAGCCGAAGTTTGGGCGCATATTCGCTAGGTGTATAAACATTACATCCGTTTATGGGACACGTGACTTCTGGTGAACATGCCATCTCAGTGACCCCAGCAACCTTAATCCACACACACTTCTCCATCTGTCCTCAGGCTCCTTGGCGGTGTAACCTACTGTTGGGTCGGGGATCATGTGTCATCCTACAGCTTCTGGGATTATGTGTTTCTCCTGTCCACTGGCTTGGTGATGTATCAGTCTTGGCACTCCTTCATGACATACTTTTTAACTTTAAAGTGAATTTTAATTTTATCTGCTCCTGGGCTAGTGGCTCTATTGACTTCCACAGGACTGGGAGCAGTCGTTTATTTGTTGTTTTCTGCTGGAGCTGCCCTTACTGTGGTTATCTACATATCCCCTTGGAACCTCATTGCGCTTGATACTTGCATTTTTTTTTCACTTGGGAATGGGCTGGTGTTCACATAAATAAATGTATTAATTATGAACTATTAATCATCATTAAGGACAAGGGGTCATTCTTTGCATCTGGAGGAAAAGAGGTTTAATCTCTGTATATGGAAAGGCTTCTTCACAGTAACAGTTGTGAAAAGGTGGAACTGGTTCAAACCAGCTCAGTTGATCATTTTAAAAAAAGTTGTATGCATTCATAAATGCACAGAATTTAACTATCTATTAATATTTATAAGTAATCACACCAGAACTGATCCAGGAATTATCCAATCTTCTTTGGGGATCAGGAAGGATATTTTTTTCTCTGTTGGAGCAAATTGGACCATGCTTTGAAATGAGGTCTTTTGCCTTCTTCTGGATCAACTGGTATATGTTTCTGTGTATACAGAGGCTTTCAGCTAATGTATTCATTTTTTTTTCTATCATTTACAGATAAAAAGTAGACACTTTTAAACGTGAAGACATACGCTGGCTGAATTAAAACGACTTGTGTCTTTTTTCAGACTAATTTTGTAATTATTTAATCCTGGGAAGCAGTTTCTTGATCCCGAAAGGCCAAAAAAAGCACTCACAGATCTAGTAGAGTGTGCCTTGACAGGAAAGGGTGGAGCTCATTCCTTGAGACCATAAGCTTCGACTATGGCCTGCCTGAGCCAGCCACAAATGTGGGAACAAGAAGCCGCTGCACATTTACAAAGTTCAGTTGGGATGATAAAAAGGTAATTGGTCTTTCTGAATTAAGCAGTGGGTGAGAAATAGACTCTTACAACCCATACTACATGCAAACAATAGTGGAAAATGTCCTTTTGGTGAACCGAGTTTCATCAGTCCACAGACAGAAGGATGGATGAACTATATATCAACATAGGAAAACCCATGAAAATCTTTTCTCTTTCGTTAAACAGGTGCACAAGTTGTGCACACAGCCAACAATTATATAAATGTCTAGAACACTTGGACTTTGCTGTTTAGTGAATCAGGCCAATACACCCCTTAATTACTACTTTATTGCAGTATAAATAAGAACATGGACCAAATTGAACAGAGGTGCCAAAATGCTGGCTTGGGTCTTCCCCACACATCTGCAAATGTATATACACAAAGACTTTTAGGGAAATGTCAAGAGCAGGTTTAAATTAGGTTTTATCTATCTGTCTAACAGGGCTAAAGTGCTTGGGAACATGTGTTAAGAAAAATAAATGTTCCTGGCTTGGTTTTTCTGCCGGGAGGAAACCAAAGAAAAAGAATGAATGCTGCTGCTCAATGACATAGGGGAGAAAATGCTCAAAAAGTGATAATCCCATTTGGGTAGTTACACCTGAATTTATAATCAATACCTATAGTCCCTAAAAAGAAGAATAAAAAGCAAAGATGTCTGTGATATCCATAGGATTGCAAAGTGGTTTGCAGAGTATTTGCATAAGATTTGTTGGAGTTACTAATGTTCAACCACACACAGGCACAATACATAAAAAGGTTCATTCTTTTAGGCCTCATGCACACTGGGCGATTTTACAGCTGCTGTTTTTGGCTTCTGGAGTTTTTTTTCTACAGCCAGTAAACTCCCCAACATGTTATCCTATGTGTCTATGCACACATAAGCTTTAATAAGCGTGTTTTGGCAGGGGTGTTTTCTGGCTGAGAACTACACCCAGAACTAGTGGGTTTCAAGAGGATTTTTTTTAGCTGTAAAAACGCTCTAACACTGGTAAATGCGCTAACATGCGGTAAAACATGGCAAATGGGTGTTTTTGAGCATTTTCTGAGGACATTTTTTTTTTTTGTGTAAAAACGCTAACACAGAAATACACGGCTAAACACAACTTTATAACACAACTTTATACGACTTTATACAGCTAACATTACCGCATTTTTAAAATGCCCAGTGTGCATGAGGCCCTATGTATAGAAGCATTCCTTTAGAAACATAGAGGAGATAATGTAATGAAATTCCCACAGCACAAACTACTTTATACCTAAACATTAATTCCTGGCATGCTATCAAGCAGAAAATATTTCTTTTCAACTACATATGGTGGAGAAGATGCACACATTTTACAACCCTTATGGGATTCAGGTCAAGAAAATAACAATGAAAATACATGGATGATTCTTTGTAAGATGTTCATAATGTATGTAGTGTAATATATTCGATAAAGAAGGAAATTATGAATTCCCCTGAATGTTTTTTAAATGTCCCTGTCTACATCTCAGGGAGATTCCGCTTTATTTTCTGTCCCAGGAAATTTGTTTTATATAAAACAACCAACAACTTTACATACACATTAATGTAAGAAACAGGGCTGTTGTCCATAGTATTCAATAATGTGTTTGTTTTCATTCACTTCACATAAAAACATTAAACATAAACTCAGGGTGGTTGCAATTCTCAACACTTTCATTTTTCCGTGGTGTTCACATTTCATACATTAGAATTTGAAGTAAACTTGTAGTAAACTAGTGCTGATACAATAAACTTAGAGGGGAAATGAAAGGGGCCAAAAAAGAGCAAAATAATAATCTCCAGTATTGCCTATGATCTCCCTGCTGCTGATTTTTCCCAAAAATGCCCTGTTTTGCACTATCTCTGTACAGTGACAGCTGATGGGGTAATAACAGGGGAGGACTGAGTAACTCATGGGGCCCCCGGGCAATAGGGGATCATGAGACCCCTGTGTCCTTGACCACACTCAAAGAACACCCAAAAAAGCCTATAAAAGGTACCAGGGGCATTTCATGGGGACCCTACTGACCCTGGGCCCTCAGGCAGTGCCCGAGTGCTCTAATGGTCAGTCCGCCCCTGGGTAATAATCAAGAAGCATCAGTAGAGGTGTACAAAGCAGAGATCTACAGAATAAAAGAAGTATAAGTAGGGAGATGCTTGCACTGTAAGTCATCTCATGGCACATGCCTCCTTCACATTTTAAACATAAGTTCAGTTAACTAAATATGAAGTTGTCTCAGGTTAAAAACACAAAGGGATTTTTAATGCTACTGACAGAAGAAAAAAAATGCTTTCCAAACCACATATTAGTCACTCACTTGCACTGACATATTTTGCAAACTCTGAATATTATGTGTGTCTGTACTTCGTACTGAGATAATCAAGCACAGACTAAAGAATGCCATCTACTGCCCAAAAACATAATGCAATCTCCTTGAAAAATAAAAATTGATTTTCTTTACAGCAGCACAACCATTTTTTGAGCTGATATGCAAATATGACAGTGGATCTCCTTTTTGTGCAACTAAATCAAAAAGCAGCAGATGTTCACTAAAGTTGGCCATACATACTGAACTGTTTCAAGGTGGTTGCGGGAATCCTCCCATCTGTGTCACTGTATTCTCACAACGAATACACTGATCAGTGCTGCATCTGGTTGGCTACATGTGCTAATTGAAGCAAAATTTTCCAACAAGCCCAGCCAGTTTATGAGAAGTCGGTCGGTAGATCGACTTCTCATGAACGGGAATGGCCATAGATAGAACAAAAGTTAACATTTCCATCCATGAATGGCCAGCTTAAACTATCAAACATGGTTTAAAGTGTTACTTTCACTATATCTGGTCCCCCACAGTACACACAACATGGAAATGCAATTATTGTAGTAAATATAAACTGCTAAATACCTTTTCTCATCAGCAGTTGGAGCAGTCTTGTGACTTCAGCAGAGCACTGGTTAAAGCTTGTAGGAGGAGTTTTCTTTCTGCTCTAGGAGGATGCAAAACCCCTGACCTCTGTCTGGGCAGTGCTGATTGGCCCTGTGCTGATCATATACACTCTCTCAAGAAAAAAAACAACCTCTCTAGCAATACACACAAAACTAAGCATGTGCAGAATGGCTACGGTTCAGTCTGTCTTATCAGGAGATAAGACATGGACATTTGAACAAGAGGAGGGGCACAGAAAACAGGATCAAACTGCCTTTTTACACAATTAACCCCTTAAGAGGAGGATTAACCCCTTAGGTTCCACAGTGAGTATAACAAGCATGCTTTACTGCATATACAGACTGATTTTACTGTTGTGGGTTTAATAACACTTTAACCACCTCCCGCCCGCCTTATAGTCCAATGATGGACGCAAGGCAGTTCTCTCATTCTGGGAGGACGTTATATGACGTCCTCCCATTCTCACAGCGCATGCGCGGCTCCGGGAGCACGCAGCGTGGCGATTGGTGGTGCGCTGTGTCCCTCAGACACAGCAGATAACCGATCCACGGAAAGAGCCGAAGATGTCGGCTCAGTCATGTGATCAGCTGTGTCCAATCACAGCTGATCGCATGTAAACAGGGAAATGCCGGTTATCGGCATTTCTTTCCTCATGAGCTGTCACGCTGACAGCTCGTGAGGAGAGCAGAGCCGGTAATCGGCATTCCTCGGAGGGGACATGTGCACTGATCATCAGCAGTGCCACCTGTCAGTGTCCATCAGTGCCAGCTTTCAGTGCTCATCCATGCCACCTGCCAGTGCCCATCAGTGCCACATCAATGCCACATATCAGTGCCTACCAGTGCACATCAATGCCACATATCAGTGCCCATCTGAGCTGCCCTTCAGTGTCACCCATCAGTGCCAGTCAGTGCCACCCATCAACGCCAATAAGTGCCACCTATCAGTGCTAGTCAGTGCTGCATATCAGTATGCATCAGTGACGCCTATCAGTGCCTGTCAGTGCTGCCTATCAGTTCTGCCTAACAGTGCCCGTCAGTGCCACGTAATAGTGCCAGTCAGTGCGCCTATCAGTGCCAGTCAGTGCTGCCTATCAGTGCCACCTATCAGAGTCGCCTATCAGTACATATATCGGTGCTGCCTTTTAGTGCCTATCAGTGATGCCTGTCAATGCCCATCAGTGCCACCTACCAGTGCCTCCTCATCAGTGCCCATCAGTGCCACCTATCAGTGTCCATCAGTGCAGCCTATCAGTGCCCATCACTACAGCCTCATTAGCGCACATCAGTGAAGGAGAAAAATCACTTATTTACAAAATTTTATGACAAAAACTAAGAAAAAACTTTTTTTTTTTAAATTTTCAGTGGTTTTTGGTTTGTTTAAGAAACAATAAAAAACCCAGAGGTGATTAAATACCACCAAAATAAAGCTCTATCTGTCACAAAAAAATGATAAAAATTTCATATGGGTACAGTGTTGCATGACTGCGCAATTGTCACTCAAAGTGTGACAGTGCTGAAAGCTGGAAATTGGCCTGGGCAGGAAGGGGGTATAAGTGTCCTGTAGGCTAGTGGTTAAAGTATAACTAAAGGCAAAACTTTTTTTTTCAGTTTTGGATAGAGTGGAGAGGGATTAGTACACCTGTCAGTTTTTATTGTGGCCTCTGTCCCCTTTAGGGAAATTCACCCTCTCTATTAGTCCTGTTTATCGTTAACGTCAAAAGTGAAAGTAAAAGAAAGTTCCAACTTTTGGGTTGTCCCTAGAACTTCCAATAGGGACACTAGTTCTAGTGACCTGGGAGACCCCAAGGGATTCCCTTAAAGTGGTTCTAAAGCTTTAAGGTTTTTTTACCTTTATGAAAAAATATCACCTTTCTTGAGTAAGGGCAGATGATTCATGTAGCTATAACTCCCTGAAATCCATCTGCCCTTAGCTCAGGCATGCACACAGGGTTCACATCCCCACGGCACAGAGCGTGAGCTGTAAATGTACACTGAGCTGTGTATGCACAGCTCAGTGTGCATGACAGCTGACAGGCAGGGAGAAACTTTTTATAACAGGAGAGACAAATAGTCTATCTTCTGTCATAAAAACCCTACTTGTCAGCAATTTTGCAAAAAGTTAGTTTAATACCACTGTTAGTGAAAGCCACCCCCAACTACAGGAGGGCCTGGGAGGTACTGTGTGAGTCAGTATTTTAGCTTTGTGGCAGAACAATAAAAATTTGCTTAGTTTTCTAATGTTCAGAAACCTTCCAAAGCACTTTTGTGTTATCAAGGCACAAACACTGGGGGTTTTGAAGAAAAGCTAAAAAGAGGAAAATGTACTGGATCCTAAAGTAAGTTGAATAATAACTAGCCGAATCATAAACTATATGCTGTTGTTTCAGGGTTTCAGGGAATACCAGCAAACATAAACTATATTTTTCTAAAGGTTATAAATGTGCCCAAAGTCTGATTCTATATGAAAGTCATGCTTGCCATCATACGCTATGGAGATGAACATTAATCATGTGATGTCTTACTGACCCACAGATACATTCCATTATACTTTGATATAATTAAATGTTGTGGTAGTTTCTCTGTCCATGTAATTTTTCCTTGCAAGCCAGAACATTGAAATACAGATATTTCAGGTACATGCAAAGACAAATGTGGAGTTATACTGCTGCAAATTCTCAAACATAAAGTATTTGGGCTAATTTACGGCACAATTCCTGTGTTTTGTGTGCATTTACATGCATTTTAAATGCATTTGTAATGCATTCCATTGCATTTTTTCTCACTTGAAAAAACAGAGTGCAAAGGATCCTTCTCACATTTATGTGCATTTCAGTGCATTTCCACACATTTCAGTGCAAAAAAAATGCATGCCGCTGTACTTTTTTGAACTGCTTCCCATCCAGCTACATACCCATATGCTGATTGATAGGAAGGGTGATATCTCAGTCATTGCTGCTGCGATGACTGAGGTATCATTGTTTTCAGCCAGTGATTCAGCCAGTGATTCTGAAGCCGGTAAAAGTAATCTAAGTGGCTAAAAAGCTGCTGGATTACTTTTACAGGTGCTGGAAGAGGTGGCTTCACTGGGCTCTCCTAAGCGGCACATTGTTCTTTCCACTGTGTGATGTCAGAAATTGGAAGTGACAAGGATTTAGTCACTTTTTGTTCTTTGTTGACCTTGTTGTTACAGATTAGGGAAGCAGCCGATCAGACCAATCTGTGTCTGAACGGCTACACTGGAGGCCAGAGAAGATGACAAGGTTCCAAAAGACTCCAGATCTCTCCATAAAGAGGACCTGTCATGTCCCATGCCGTCACAAAGGATGTTGTTCATCCCTTGTGATATCAATAAAGTTTATTAAAAAAAACCTAAAATATATATATATATGTTTTTTTTTTTTTTTTGCATGCATTCAGGAACAAACCCTTAGTCCACCCAAGATTGATATACAGTTCTCTGGGCAGATGTCGACAGGTGGTTGAATCACCCATAGATTTATTATAGTATATAGTGACTATTGTAGACTACAGTAATTAAATTCTTAGCTCTACCAATTTGTCCTAGTCATAATGAACAAAGCTTCTTCATCCTATTGAATTCCAAATTTACTTGACATTACAAAGAATGCAGCAGTAGAGTCAAGACTGTGCCAGCTGATGTAGCAGTGTCAGCAATATTAGCAAGGAGACTTTGCAAGAAAATCTGCTTTGCCTTTATCATGTGTTCAAGATTAACTGAACCACACGCACCTGGAGAGTTTATGTCTAGGAATTACACAATGAAAAAATAAAAATAAATAATTGTAGCACCTAACGAGGAGGTTTTTAAATAAGACCCAATACAGGCAGTCCCTGGGTTACAAACATCCGACTTACATATGACTGATACTTAAGATCGGAGGCAGCATGAAGTCATGGTACTCCCCAAAAACCACATTGGCGACCATCTTGCTGTTCATGGTATGCTGCCACCTACTGTTCGGCAGACCTGTCAGCAATCCCACTGCATGGCCAGTTAACCTTTCCCTATGCTATCCAAAACTTAAACATTTTTTGACTTGAGTTAAAAATCTTGTTCGTGACCCAGGGACTGCCTGTACTGAAAATTCATATAAAGTATCTTGTTTCATACTGAGGGCAGATTACCATTCAGTGAAAGACCAATGACATCCAATCATCCATCGGATCAATATACATTCATGCAGAAGGCAAGCTGCACTACCTTATCTTGACTCATCTCCTCAGTGATTTCAGTAGATAATTCATCAAATATTTAATTGTAAACTAGAGGTCGTATGCCTCTACAATCAAAGCCTAGTACACAAAGGCCGAATGTCGGGAGGCATCGGCTGGTTCAATAGAAACCGGACGACATTTGGCCTGTGTATACGGCAGCCAGTTTGACAGAAGGTGGCCTTTGGGCCAGCTTCTGTCGAAGGGGCATGACCGGAAAAGGTCTGGTGATTGGCTCCTATTCAGCGATCTCAGCCAATGGCTGAGAGCGCTGACTGCAGTGTTCTGTTACCATCACATCACACACAGCATAACAATATTATTCCAAATAGGAAAACATTATATTGGTGGGCCTTTGTATCTATTACCCTAGCTAGAGGCTTTATCATTACTAGATGTGAATAAAAAACAATACTCTTCATTTTTATACTTAATACAGATAATAGAGTACTTGAAAGTAACCCATGTTCTATAATATGGTAATGTGGCCTACTTATCTAATCTTTCACCTTGTTAGCAGCAGTGCTTTCCATCAAGTAAATTCTAGGTTTATGCAGATTTGAAATCTTATTTGTCACTTACTGTGGCTGTGATAAGATAACGTGCGGCTTTTGTCTGAGTGCCAGTGTAACTTGTCCACCTTGGTTAGGTTCTGGAGAGAACTGTACTTTTCTTGGTATGGGCTGTGGAGCAGCTTGCTGGGGAATCGGACGTATGGGTGGGGCTGGAGCACCTGCACCTTGATCTCCTGTCCCGGCAGAGGATGTGCCTTGGGTTGCTCTTTCTTCACAGACTTTACCTTTGGTACCAGGTTTGCACACACAGAGATGTGGGCGTAAGCACATTCCACCATTCTGACAAGGTGGAGAGCAGTTTGCTGTTAAAAAATACAACAAGAATATAGGATCAACAGAAAAAGGGAAAAAATATTACATTAAAAGAGCCTTAGAAACACAATTACAATTTGCAGATCTGTAGTGAAGGCCATAAAGTAGAAAGAGCCAGCAACCTTCAAGGACAAAAAAATTACAGACATTTGCTTGTGGTATTATTAAAAGTATTTTTCTTTTTTTAAATAATAATGAACCCTTCAAAGCACAAAATACTATAATCTTGCTTTTTACTTCTTATTAAACACGCCAAAATAAAAATACATTGCGGCTAGCGAATATGCTATGTCATTCACATCTTTTACCTTTAACAGTTGATATGTTTAAATGCTTTAGTCATGGAAATCAATCACTAGTGGCATTTGGGCAATGAAAAAAATAAACATTGTACTTGACTAATAAAATCTAAAGCAAAGGAAGTATATACTTTAGCATATAAAATCAGGTGTCCTTTTTGTAACCTTCAAAGCAGAACTTCCAAAATGTGAGGTTGATAATAACTCCACCTATGTTTGTACTAGCGTTTATAACTCAACACTCATAATGTATTATTATTAGTATATTACAGAGTTGTAATGCAACAGATTGCCCCAAAAGAATTACATGATGATTTGGGCTGAAGCGCTTTGAGAATGAATCAGCATTGACATCAGTGACTGGTCATAGACTCTATAATCATTTAAAAAAAGAAAAGGCCACTTCTGGGCATATATCATAGTAACTAATATACAGTTGATTTTCCAAACCATGCGCTTTGCCATGTGAAAGTAAATTTATAAAATGGGTATTTATTAAAGCAACATTTCAATTGCTTTCACTTCTGCTTCCTCCCTTCCTACTTACCTTTACTTATTGTACATTTTAATGCACTGCTGATCCAAGCCTATGTTGTACATTTTGTGTGTTTTACAATCTACCATAAGGAAACAGAATTACTGACTAGCAGACACAAATAATAAAAAAATTGGGTTATCACAAAAAAATAGCAGGAAGAAAGTACCATGTTGGTAAACACAAAAAAATTTACACACAGTGATCATGGGTATAACAATGAGCATATACAGGGGGTTCAAATGCCTAACGCATTACCTTTAACCACTTTATCACAGGAATTAAGAGATAAATAATATGCTCACAAGCCAAGTGAGCTAAAAGTATGTAAATGCATAAGCACATAATGTAGACCGCTCTCCACCTCTAAATGGAGACAAGATGGTGCTGAATACTGAGGCGTTTCAGGAACCATATCCCTTTGTCAGAGCAAAGGC